AATTTTCATATTGTTGGTAAATAACAGTTTTTTCCCCTTTTTTATTGTGGCAAAATACACATAACATAAAATTTACCACCGTAACCATTTTTAAAAAACATGTTTTTATTGATTTGAGAGAGAGGAAGAGGGAGAGAGATAAGAACATGAATGATGAGAGAGAAACATTGATCGGCTGCCTCCTGCATACCCTCCACTGGGGATGTGCCCGCAACCCAGGTACATGCCCTTGACCGGAATCGAACCCGGGACCCCTCAGTCCGCAGGCCGACGCTCTATCCACTGAGCCACACCGGGACAGGGCAACAGTCTCTTTTTTCTTTTCTGCCCCTGCAATATCACCCGTGTCCACACGGTGGCAGCACTGGTCAATGGACAAGTTAGTGGCTGATTTTGCTTGTCAAGTTCATAGTTTTCAGGAAGTCTTCAGAAACTAGTTTGTCATTTTTAAAAAATATATATTTTATTGATTATTTACAGAGAGGAAGGGAGAGGGATAGAGAGTCAGAAACATCGATGAGAGAGAAACATCGATCAGCCGCCTCCTGCACATCTCCCACTGGGGATGTGCCGGCAACCCAGGTACATGCCCTGGACCCGAATCGAACCCGGGACCCTTCAGTCTGGAGGCCGACGCTCTATCCACTGAGCCACACCGGTCAGGGCTAGTTTGTCATTTCTGAGTGACGGTATAAAATAGTTTCCTGCTAAGCCCGGCCGGTATCACTCAGTGTCTGAGCATCTACGCAAAAGGTCACCTGCCCTGTTGCTGGCTCGATCCCGGTCAGGGAGAGGTGGGCCGGAGGCAGCCAATCGAAGAAATTTCTCTCTCATTGATGTTTCTATCACTCTGTCCCTCTCCCTTCCTCTTTCTCTAATAAAAAAAAATCAGTAAAAGCATATAAAAATAAGTTTTTTATTTCTAAGAACCCTCTTATGCATTGGTTTATAAATCCTGGCTCTAGCTAGCCCTAGCTGGTTCGGCTCCAAGGTCTCGGGTTCGATTCCATTCAAAGGCACATGCCCAGGATGTGGGCACGATCCCCAGTGGGAAGCGTGCGGGAGGCAACTGATCCATGATTCTCATCATTGATGTTTCTCTCTCTCTCTCTCTCTCTCTCTCTTCTCTCTAAAATCAATAAGAAATATACATTAAGCTCTA